AGGTATGCATTCCTGCAGGAGCACAGTTAGTCTCTACTGGGCATTTGGATCATCAGAGGCTAGGCACTGCTCAGCACAGAGCAGGCCTTCAGGAAGATCTGCTAGGTCTAGTTAAATGTTACCAGGGGTACAGTTCCCCCGCACAGGCTACATGATACAGACGGGCTTTTAAAAAATCCTCAGTTCACATTTTCTCCATCAGTTTTGGGAAGTGAAATAACTGAGCAGAACACGAACTAAATCACTGTTTTCTTTGTAGATCCGGCAAAGCCGGTAAGCATCTCTTTGTAAATGTAGGTCGGTACTCGGGCATCGTGTTGCTCTGCTTCGATGCAATCAGTCCCAGGGGTTCTGTAAAGCCTGTTTTCTTTCTTTAAAGGCATTGCTGAAGCATGTTTTAGTCTCCAAATGCTAACACTTCTGGTGATAAAACATTCCAGAGAGGCATATACCATATGTGGTTGGTTGGCAAGGGGTGAAGATATCTAATAGATCGGCACTTGATAGAATCTATCAGATTGGTTAATATGCGGATTTGAACCTTAAGCCAAAATTGTCTCATTTGTTACTGTCGTCGAAGTTTTTACTCTAATCATTTGATAATTATCCTTTCAGATAGCCAGTCTGTCCAGTTTTTACCAATGACGTTTCCCCAAGGCCCCTCAGTTCCTGTATCAGCAACCCCTCCCCATTCCAATGGGGGTGGACAGTTGCCAGGCTCAATGGTTGTGTCCCTCCCCCTCCCCACACAAGGACCATCACACCCCTCCTCAGTGTGGGTGTGACCAGTCTCCCCAAGGTTACCACGTTCCCATGAAAACAGATTTAACTTCCTTTTAGTTGCATTGATTTTCTTTTTTTTCTGGATCTATTTCCAAAAGAAACAGGCAAGAGGTGATTTTTAAAACATCAATGCTTGTATTTATGAAGTGTCTACTTAATTGCAAAGCCCTATGTTAGGCACTATGGGATGGGTTTGTTTTGTTCTAAGCATAAGACAATTGCGACCCTCCACGAACTTAGTCTAAATCATGAACACGTTAGCATTCAAATACGAAACAGTTATCACGGGACAAGAATCAGAGAGCTGAGTTATCTCTGAGCTCACCCCTATCACTAGCTGTTCAACCTCTTTGAGTCTGAAGGTCTTGGTGGTTATGAGGGGTGACAGTAACACCCAGCTCCTAACTGGTTAGGAGGGTTCAATTAATGTATGCGTAGCAATACTGTTGACCACTTGCCCCATAACTCCACATCCCCCTGTCCCACCCCCATTACGCCTGCAGGTGCAGTGGGCAGTTTCCACAGGTAAGCGCTTCCCCCTGTCATGGACTGAATTCTGTTCCCACCAACTTCCTCTGTTGAAGGCCTGCTCCCCAACACGACTGCATTTGGAGGAAGGGCTTCTGAAGAGTAAGGTTAAAGGAGGTCGCTGGGATAGAACCCTACTCCCATAAGACCCGTGTCCTTAGGAGACGAGAGAGACATACCAGGGATGTGCACGCGCAGAGGAAAAGCCATACGTAGATACAGCAAGAAGGCAGTCGCCCGCCAGCAGCAGATAGAGACCTCCAGAGGAACCAAACCTGCCGACACCTGATTGTGGACTGTCAGCCCCCAGAACTGTAAGGAAATAAATCTCTTCCCTTAGGCCCCCCAGTCTGTGGTCTTTTGTTATAGCGGCCTGAGCTAAGACACACCCTCAGGCGCTTCTCTCTGCCTCTCTGGGAGTGATTTTTGGCATTCCACCAGCTGGCTCGGCCTTCAGCAGGCCAACCAGGGACACCCCTGGAGCAGCAGGAGACAGGAGCCTATGGATAAATGCCACCCCCCCCCAGTTGACTGAGGAAACAACGCTGAGATATGGGTCTGTGTTTTCTCAGAAGGGCCCGGCAGGGCTGAACCCCATCATCCGTAGCACCGACCTGTCGGTTCACGAAGACTTTACCAGCTCTCTCCTTCCCTGCCTTCCCTTGTCCCACACCCTCACTTGGGATCCTGCCATCACTTTCCAAATAAACAACCTTCACATAAGTCCTTGATTAGGGGTCTGCCTTTGGGAGAATACTGAACTAAGAGGCAGGTTGACACTGGCCTCTCAGTGAGTGTCCCCTTCCCCTAACAAAAAAGTGAGACCAAGATTTAGCAACAGAACACATGTTACAATGAAGCAATGGGGGAGGCTGCTGAATGAGCCCCATTGGCAACGCCGATTATAGGAATCAAGAGGAGAAATCCATTTTGATAGGATCATCCGCATAAAGCTTTGACTTTTCAAGCTGGAAGCGATCTCAGTTCTCAGTTACCTCACAAGTTGTGACATCACACACACGGTGTCTACATGACTGAGGAGGAACAGACCTACCCAGTACTGGTACCAAAAGCAGGATCCTCTAAGAGTGGGATGGCCTCCCTATTGACGTCCCCTCGAAACAATGAGGGTAAGCCCCCATAAATGTTCCAAGCTCTCTGGAAGTTTCTTTAGCAATGTTCAGGAAAAAGGCAGAGCAGGGGTGTTGTCCCCAAAGTCCCCTCCAGAGGTCCCTCGAGAAAGAATTTATGAGCTGCTCCTCTCCAGTCCCTTCCTTGACATTTATTGGCTTTTTGATGAACATTAGAATAATTCTTTTGTCAACTGCTTCTCATTAGGGACCTGGTGATGTTCTTTCTGACCGTTATTTTACTCAATATCATGCCTGGTTACTGTGAGGAGAAGAGGTTCCACTTAGAAACCATCCATCTTTGCAGCAGGACAGAGCTCAGGTAGGCCCACTGAGATACCCTTCCTGCATTGACAGCCGCCCCAGGGCACGTGCAGAGAACTTAGACAAATGTCCAGGCTTTAACGAATGGCTCACCCTCCAGCATCATGCTCCTCCATTTCCTTAAAGACATATTTCAGTTTGATTCTGTTTCTTTTTAAAATAAATCATGGAGACCTTGTGGGTGAAATAATCACCAGGACTTAGTCCTTAGGGGTGACACAGTCTCACCATGAATGACAGGTCTGCCTTGGAAAAGTCTAGAACTAGCAAGTGTTGAAAGCAGGCATCCAGTTTCCTTGATGGACTGTTTATTTCTCCCTCACATGCACTGTCTTAACATGATGATGGCATAGGGAAGCACTTGGAGACGTCTGAAGTTCCCACCACTCATGTCAACAATGTCAAGGTCCACATGCCCTCCTTCACCTTCCCTACCACCAGATATGTGAATCTAACCAGGAAGGGCACACTTTTTAAAAAGGTTTTTAGTTATGAACAATCTCAAACACATGGAAAAGTTGAGAGAAAAGTGTCACACACTACCACGTACTCAGCTTTAACAATTATTACCCAGATTTCTAACAATTACTGGGGCGCCCAGGTGGCTCAGTCGGTTAAACGTCCGACTTTGGCTCAGATCATGATATCACAGTTTGTGGGTTTGAGCCCTGCATGGGACTGTGTGCTGAGAACTCAGAGCCTGGAGCCTGCTTCAGATTCTGTGTCTCCTTCTCTCTCTCTCTCTCTCTCAAAAATAAACATTAAAAATATCTTTATAACAATTATCAATGGATAACATATCCATGGCCAATCTTGTATGCTCTGTCCCATACTCACTACCCCCATCCGCAGACTATTTTGAAGTGAACCCCAGAGTGGCCTCATTCAAACAAAATACACTGCTATCATCCAGGAAATTCCAGGGGATTTAGGAGCTCTGTGTCAGGAACCAGGCTCTAACACCAAATATTAGAACAAAAGACGCTCCTAGTGCTGTTATCGGGAAATTACAAGGGTCTCGGGAGCTATGCGCCAGGAACAAGGGCAGAGACTAACATACATGCTTTCTTTGATCTCACAACAACATACTTCATACCTTCCCTCGTCTGTTTCAGGCCTCCACCCCTCCTCCCAGGATCACTTTCCAAAGTAAATCACCTGCTTGCCAAGCTAGGGCTTGGGCACTGCTTTCTACAAGAAGCCCAGGTTGAGATACCAACCTAGGAGAGGGGAGCAAAGGCAGCAAAGGGGAGTCCCAATGTGACGGCCGGGCAGGAGGCCTGGAGAGGAACCAGCCCCAACCGAAGGAGAACAGAAGCCTCTGGAGGGATGTGTCCAAGAGATTCATTGAAACTCATATGTCTGACATCGGACATCGCTGACATGTGGAATGCTGTCCTGAGAGGCCAGAGGGCATCGGAGCAGCGTGAAGCTGTTTAGGTCATCACTGCTGACCAAAGGGCAGTGCAAAGGGTGCATTGATGTGCTCTTGGGGTAAGAGAAATTTAGTGTGACATGAAACTTTAGAAAATGGCCACCCCCTGTACCCTCAGGAAAGAATGAGTGTGGTCATTCCAGGACCTCTGCTGGAAGGGAGAGCAAAAGCTACAAAGTCTGGCGGGCGCAAAGTGGAACCCGCGTCGTCCAGGACAAGGACAGGAGTAGAAAACTGGCGTCATCGGGCTTTGATCTGTAGTTGGGCCAACAGTATACACCCGTTAATTTCCCAGCTGTGGTGGATGTGGTGGTGTAAGATGTGAACATGAGAGGAAGCTGCTGGAAGGAGCCCCGCGCTATCTTTGAAACTCTCAGGTAAATCTGGAATTATTTTCAAAATAAAAAGTTCTTTTTTTTTTACAGTGATAACGCAGCTGCATTAGGGTTCTCTGAGAATCAGAACAAGTAGAACAGTTGGACAGACAGAGATCTTTAGAAAGAGAGGAATCATGAGGAACTGGCTCATGCCCTTGTGGCATCTGAGGGGGTCCCACCGTCTGCAGTGGGCAAACTGAAGAGCCGGCAGGCCTAGAGCTGGTGATGAAGTTCACGGGCGGAGAGCCACGTCCGAAGGCCTGAAGCAGGAGCTTCTCAGGGCAGGAGAAGACGGACTGTCCGGGTTCCTGCAGTCACGCAGGACGTGAGAGAACCTTCCCTGCCTCCTGCTTTTTGTTCCGCTCACGCCCTCAACTGATTGGATGAGTTCCGCCCATCTGGGGAGGGCAGTCCACTTTACTCAGTCTACCAATTCAAATGCTGAGGTCTTCCTGGAACCCTCACAGCCGCCCTCCAGAATTAATGTTTAACCAGCTACTTGGGCATCCTGTGGTCCAGTCGGGTGGACACATAAAATTAACCCTCACGGTATCTGTGTTTGTATATGTACAGCCCAGCCCTGGAAAGGTACACTCAAAACGGATAATGGTGTTTGCCTCTGGGGAGAACACCCGCGGGGAGGGGGACTGGGGTCAGGGTGAGAGAGAGACTCACTTTTGCACTGCGTACCCTTTTGTACTGTTCACATGTGTTGCTGTTTTTAAACACGTGTACATAGTACCACATTCAAAAAATTAGAATAGTCACAGGCACCCAGGATATGCTCTGTGGGAGGCAGACTGTGAGGGGAATGTCGTGTGCATGAGGTATTCAGGAAGAGCCTTGAGATGAACAGCTATGGGAGACAAGCAGGAACAGGCAGAGGCAGAAGTCCAGGGGCAGCCGACCTCCTGGGAAGCTCCGCAGCCAACACAGCCACCAGCGTTCTTCCCCCTGGGCCAGAATGGCAGGAACCATCACACCTGTCTCTGCTGGTCCCTGGGTGCAGGCTGTGGTGGGAAGGGCATGAACCTGGTCCAGGTGACTACTCATAGCCAAGGTACCCTCTGCAGGGTGGCGGCCAAAGGCAGAAGTTGGGACAGCACATCCTTCCCCAGAAACGGAATCTAGGTGACATGTCTGCATGTCCCCCACAGGAACAATATATGCTCATTATAACATGGAAACGGTTATGATGTAGTCAGAGGGGGAAAAAGGACACACATTTGTATCTATAGCATGTAACAATTAGGCAAAGCAAACAATAAAAATAATCCTGGGGGCACCTGGGTGGCTCAGTCGGTTGAGCATCTGACTCTTGATCTTAGCTCAGGTCACAATCTCACAGTTCATGGGATCAAGTCCCGCATCAGGCTCTGCACTAACAGCGTGGAACCTGCTTGGGATTCTCGCTCTCTCCCTCTTTCTCTGTCTCTCTCAAAATAAATAAATTAACTTAAAAAAAATAAAAATAACTTTTTAAAAGGTCATTATGGGCACCTGGGTGGCTCAGTTGGTTGAACCTCCGACTTCGGCTGAGGTCATAATCTCACGGTTCATGGGTTCAAGCCCCATGTTGGGCTCTGTGCTGACAGCTCACAGCCTGGAGCCTGCTTCGGATTCTGTGTGTCCCTCTCTCACTGCCCCTCCCCCATTCACACTCTATCTCTTTCTCTCAAAAATAAGTATTAATTTTTTTTTAAATAAATAAAATAAATAAAAGGTCATTATATTCCTAGAAACTGGAACTGGAAGAAAATATTCCAAAATGTAAAAATTTTTTTCTGGAAGTGGGACTGTCAAAATTTTTCCTCTTCTTCTTACTTTTCTCTATTTTGTATTTTTTTTCCAAATTTTCTATAATTTTTAAAAAATTTTAAGAAGCACCCTGGGATCTGCTTCTGTTATTTCTATCATTAAACTCTGACACTGTTTCTTTTTTTTTTTTAACAGTTTTTTTTTTTTAATTTTTTTTTTCAACGTTTATTTATTTTTGGGACAGAGAGAGACAGAGCATGAACGGGCGAGGGGCAGAGAGAGAGGGAGACACAGAATCGGAAACAGGCTCCAGGCTCTGAACCATCAGCCCAGAGCCCGATGCGGGGCTCGAACTCACGGACCGCGAGATCGTGACCTGGCTGAAGTCTGACGCTTAACCGACTGCGCCACCCAGGCGCCCCTCTGACACTGTTTCATGAGTAAATTCTGTGCTTATACAGAAGGATGAGGAATATTTGATCATTATCAAATAATGTCTAAACTTTTGGGTATGATATAAGAAACGAATGGATCCTATAAACCAATGTAAACCCCACCCTTTTAGGCAATCACAAGTTCAAAACAAGGTCAGTGGCCCCAGACGCTTGCTCAGTTAGAATGAGGGGCATCAGGGGCGCCTGGGTGGCTCAGTCCGTTGAATGTCCGACTTTGGCTCAGGTCATGATCTCACAGCTTGTGGGCTCGAGCCCCACGTTGGGCTCTGTGCTGACAGCTCAGAGCCTGGAGCCTGCTTCGGATTCTGTGTCTCCCTCTCTCTGCCCCTCCCCCTCTCACACTCTGTCTCTCGCTCTCAAAAATTTTTAAAAATTTTAAAAAAAAGAATAATAGGCGTCAACTCATTCTTGTCCTGCGCACAAAGCAGCAGTTATAAACTTTTCCAGCAGAGGGCATTGGTGCTTTACCTCTGGACAGAAATCTCGGCTGCCTAACTTGCTTGGTTACTGTGAACGGAAAGTCACATTTGCTTCTTAGTCCTGAGAATAAACGGAACTTATTTAGCAGGTTATATGGTGAACTTAGTTAGATGTTAGTTCAGGCCAGGCAGTGGAGAGGAAGAAGTTCATAAATTTTTTAAAAAGTAATAATCCTGATACAATTGGCTGACCTCACAGTGTGCTATAAAGATTGCTTGGGAGCTTTTATTCCCGGGCACCCCTTAGCGGAAGGGCTGTATATCAGGGTTTTTCAAGCCAGGCACTATGGACGCCCTGAGCCAGGTGATCCCTGTTTCGGGGCCCTCCTGTGCACGGAAGGACGTCTGGCAGCAGTCCAGCCTCCACGCACTGGACACCAGTGGCACCCTTCCCTGCAGTTACAACAACAAAAATTGTCTCCAGACATTGCCAAATGTGCAGAGGAGGAGGAGGAGGAGGAATAAAGCCACGCCCAGTTGAGAACCACTGTCCTGATAATCATCGTCAGTGCATCAATCCTGGGATAGACGGATGCAAATGAGGCCTGCACGGCGCTTGGAGCCCTGCCCAGGGCTGCCCATGTGAAGAGGCAGCAGGGTGTCTGTGCGGAGTTTCAGGCACCGTAAGTTGGGGCAGCTGCTTCTGCTCCAGACCCAACCCCACCTCCAAGCAGGACGCAGCACCTTCAGCTTTGCCCAAATAGATTCAACTCCCAGAAAACTTTACAGAAAAATGGAAAGATCACTGAAGATGTCCAAAGGAGAAGAGATGCCTCTTCACAGGATTCTCCCTTTGACATTTCTGTCCTTGACCTGTGGCCCCAAAATTTCTCGGTGGGGGGCACAGAGTCTGCCTTCAGCTCCCACTCACCCAGCACCCTTGTAAGACAAGGCAGTACGCTTCCAGCACATTCCATCCTAAGACACCTGAGTACCCCCAACCAAATCTCCTGCTAACAAGGAAGACTTTCCCCCTTCTTGTGAAACCTTCATCCATCTCAGTTTATAGATGATGATAACATGTGATTGTCCCCAAATCTCACAGCCAGGAAGTGATGGGAGCAGGGCTCAGACCCCCGTCACATGGCCCAAGCCCGTCAGGGCATAGAGGAGCAGTGCCAAGGACCCACGACACTCTCACAGCTCACAAAAATGTTTTCATGCTCATTTCCTTTAAAAATCAGAAAAAAAACATGACACTGTAAAATAGGATTTCTAATTTTTCTTTGGAGAAAGGGTCCCATAAAGACAAATGTGCCTTGGGGCGCCTGGGTGGCGCAGTCGGTTAAGCGTCCGACTTCAGCCGGGTCACGATCTTGCAGTCCGTGAGTTCGAGCCCCGCGTCAGGCTCTGGGCTGATGGCCCAGAGCCCAGAGCCCGGAGCCTGCTTCCGATTCTGTGTCTCCCTCTCTCTCTGCCCCTCCCCAGTTCATGCTCTGTGTCTGTCTGTCCCAAAAATAAATAAACGTTGAAAAAAAAAATTTTTTTTTTAAAAAAAGACAAATGTGCCTCGAGTCCCCTAAAGTCACCCTACACCCTCGATGTTGTGCTGGCGTTTTTAGTGAGGGTGTCACTGGCACACACCCACTGGATCTAGGCCCAGTCTTGGTCAAACATAAAGCTAAATCTCAATGCTAAGGCAAAAATGTAGAAGTATAGGTCTTTTCTATTATGGGGTCAATGGTATCCTTCTCAAATGTTCATTTATTCACTCAGCAAACATTTCCAATGGCCTGCTATAAATGAAAAAATAATGCATTTAAAAATATGAATAAACTTGGGTTCTACTCCTGAACCCAAGGCTACTCTGTATATTAATTCACTTGAATTTAAATGTAAAAAATATATATTAATAAACTTTTGGTTTAAAAAATACATGAATTCCAAGTTATAAAAAACAGAAAATTTTGGGGATGCCCGGGTGTCTCAGTGGGTTAAGCATCCAACTCTTGATTTCAACTCTAGTCATGATCTCACGGTTTGTGAGTGTGAGAAATAAGCCCACTGACCGAGTCAAAGGAGAGACACGGAGACTCAGAGCACAGGAAAGCAAGGTTTTAGTCAATGATCTTGCAAGAGCGGGTGTCTGACTCGGAGCAGTTACAGCAGACAATTTATCTCCCAGCATGCAAGTCCCTCCTCTGCTTCCTCATTGGCTCCTAACACGCAAACCCCTCCCCTGGTTCCTCATTGGCTCCTAGCACACAAGTTCCTCCTCTGGCTCATTGGCTGATACTACAGAGGTTACAGCCTTACCCGGAAGTTACCTATGCCCACATTAAGGCCAAATAGTAGTCGGATTGGAACAAATGTACCTTCCCTGAGGTGATGCAGAGACTTTCAGTTCTTTGGCCCATTCTCATTGCAAAGCCTGTGAAAAATAAACCCATAAAATGGAGAGG